TTATTGGTGTGGCTGTCGAGTTCAAGCCTTACCGGGGAAACTGTTTGATTACCATCCAATCGGATTCAGATCTTCAGATTTAGAGATCTGTAAGATCTATAAGAGGAATCGATAAGGACAAATTCATTTTCAAAGATCATATTAGAACGTATTTGACACGCCTTCGCTAAGTTCACCGGTATTGGATGGAAAATGCGGATCTACGGCCTCAAGATGCATACCGCTAGACTAATAAGGACGGAAGCCTCTGATTCCAATATTTGGTTCCCTATTCGATGCAATTAAAACTAAGTTTCAAATACAAGTTCAAATCAAGATGGCAACGCGGGGCAATACCCGCTAGTGACAATATAATATACAATATATGCATAACACATGACTTAGTATATATTAAATAAACTGACATCGCATCATTTACAGTCAATGTAGTCGACAATCAAAGCATTTTTTACTGGGATGCACCTACAAAGCCATTGCATGGCTGTTATTTTACAACGTATTTTCATATGTTCACTTACTCTCATCCAAGTGGCAGATCTATAATCAAACAAATTTTTAAATTTGGCCATCTATGCGAAAGAATATCAAACACAACATGGTGCTGACCAAAAGTCACTGTCCGTGACCGCAGATTTGACCATATTGTCTGATGACGATCAAACCTTTCTGTCGATGGTCGAATGCTGTCCCTTTGCAGGATATGACAGCAGGACATGATAACGTGTGCACCTGTCACCTTCCCAACAAATTTTTCATTGTTCTGAACGCATCCTCGAATCCGATGCCAGTTTTCCTTAGCATTAATAAAAATAAATTTTAATAAAAATCAAAAAGGTAAGAATATCTAGGGCACGCCGAATATTTAATATCCTTATAGACATTTTCCTGACGAGTTGAAGTTATGTGAGAGTAGTGAAGCTTCTTTGGTCACGATATCTTGATAAACAAAGAACAAAACAAAATCTTCTCTTACGACCGATCGTTCCTATGTAATGCGTGCAAGTGAAAGTCAAACCTATGCAAAGTTCTAACTTTTTATTCTGAGGGACTTGTTCGCATAGAAACAGACAGACGACTATGCGGACATGGCGCTATCAACTTGGCTGTTGATGCTGATCTTTAATAATGATGTCCTATTGGATATGTGTTTCACATTTTTCAATGAAACTATAATGAACTGTAGGGTGTATATGTCTTAGAAGAACACCCTATATACACTTAAAAAGTTTTCGGCACTTTGTCACATACCAACATACAACAATTATACAACATAACAAGCCCTTTTATATATTGGCGCTGGCTCATATTACGCAGCGCAGTTCACTTGCTTCTCTCGTCGCAACAGTCGGCGGCAATCACCACGCCCACCTATGGGCAATTGCAGCAGCCTCCAAATTGCCATTCGACTCTATGGGAGCGGCTGAGGGCCACCCACGTGCGTATGCATCAGCGACTTCACCTGCAACTCTGGGGGCCACAGGGGATAATAAACCAGCTCCTGGAAGTCACCACGCCCTCCTATGGGCATTTGCGACAGCCTCTGATTTGCCAAACGGCTCTTTGGGGGCGACAGAGGACGTCGCACCATCAGACGTCAGTCACCACGCCCACAAATGGGCACACACACCAACTCCTAAACTCGCAGCCTCTTCTCTGGGGGCAGCAGGATACGATGAACCAGTCAATGGATGCTACTACGCCCTCCTATGGGCAATTGCAGCAGCCTCCAAATTGCCGGACGGCTCTATGGGAGCAGCAAGTGCAGAAACAACAGTCAACGGCAGTCACCACGCCCTTCAACGAGCATACGCAGCAGCTTCCTAATTGCCAGCCGGCTCTATGAGAACAGCAGGTGCAATAGCGACACCTAATGATGTTCACAGCGTCCTCCAAGGGGCAATGGAAGCTGACGATGACGTCACAGCACGCTCAGTGGGAGCAGAAGCTCCTGCAGCAAGGGCTAGCGGCGGCTGCAGCGGTCTCCACTAGTCGGCCAATCCAGCGACCAATCCTTCGGGGGCGGCGGCTCAACAAAGACCGATCGATGGTCCCCACAGCGGGATCCACGGGTACCAGTCATTATGGCTGCCCGTCTGTGATTATCATCAGAGGCAGCAACAACGGTCAAAGGCGGCCAGAACGGCCTGCCCAATCCACGGTCTCCAACTGCAAAATGAGCTGCTTGATCAGCAGCATAACAACAACCAATGCTTGATGGAAGTCAACAATTTGGAGCGGCGATGTAAAAGAAGGCGTCAAATGGCAGCCCAGAGGCCAGCAAAGCAGCCCAGCAGCCGACGTACCTGCAAAAAACACAAGGGTGTGAAAAAACGCAAGGTGAAAAACAACCGTAACGCTGACTTACCTGCTCAGCGGGAAAAACAAAAACAACAGCGGCCGATTCAGCACAATTGTCAGCTCGCTAAGCGTCATCCACTTGACGCTGAGGGGTCTGTTTCGGTGTTGTTGATCATCGCCATGCAGCAGCTCCAGCATCAACAGCAGCTGCGGATAATCCACCAAAGTTTGGTACAGCACTCGGCGGCAGCTGAAGCGACGGTGTCGGTCACCAAGCAATGCAAATTGCACATGAAAATGCCAATTCGTCGGGCATTATTGCGGTGAAGTCCAATATTCCACTGAAAGGCCAGAGGCAGACGTCAGGTGCAAGGAAAGGCGATGCATTACAAAACATAATTAATATTAGTTATTTTAAACTTGCTAAATTAAAATATTATGTGTACTTACGTGCGCTCAGCGTGCCTTGTAGTGTGTATGTATGTATGTACTTTCCAATGACGTGACGGCATTGCCAGCCGATCGCGAAATAATTTCCCCACACAACTGACCTAGTCAATGTTAAATATACAGACAATTTTTATGTTTTGTTATGTTTATGTAGGCCAGTCGAGATAAATGTTAAGTTTTGTGTCTCATGTCATCTCTCTCTCTCACCTTGCAGAGTGGGGAGTGTAGCATACTTTTAAGTGGCGCCATTTACTGTTTTTAAAATTTTGGTTTGCAACTAAGAAATATGTAGAAATGAGAAACAATAAAATTAAAGCTCTCTGTCTGGCCGGTCTCACGACCAGCGTACCAGGCAGAACACTTTCAACGTTCGTTCGAGGTGGCCGGGCCCGCGCACGCGCAAAGCTACCAAAGGTGGCAGACAGTGGCCAGCCGCAGCCGGCAGACGACCGAGAAAAAAACTTGCTTTTCTAGCTGACCGTTTATGCTTACGCTGCACATCTCACGCTCCGTCTGAGTGCATTTCATGAGCAACATATATGCTCACCAACACAGGCATATGCAAGGGAGAGTGAGTCCCTCTCTTTGTAGCTGTTAACCAATAACAGCATTAGTACATGTATCCATGGCTAGGTGCATTAAATTTACTTTGAATAAAGAAATTCTTAAGACCGAAGTCAATCAGCACTGACTAAGCACGTCAGTTGTTTTTCTTTCTTTATTTTTTTTTTTAACGCGAATCCTGATGCAACGTACTGCATCTCACCTCCCGCCCAACCGACCATGGGGCGCATTCGTGTAATGTACGACACGAAAAGCAAAGTATATATAAAAACAAATAAGAGGTTTTAGTCGGGAGCTCCCGACTAGGGAATAGCCTGAATTCCAACCCCAATTAAATTTAAAAAAAAAAGGTCCCTTGGCAAGGTTCGAACCCGCAACTGACCGCATTACTTGCTGTAGACTCTACTCAACAGCAACACCAGCAAAAAAAAAATACTTTCCTTTCCTTAGAGCTCGAGCTCGCTACAGACCGCATCGCTTGCTATGCCTCTACCACTAACCAAACAACATATAGACTGGACATCACATAGAAACAACGTTGGCCCAAAAAGTATCGGAGGCATCTGGTCCAAACTCGCGAGTAAGGGAGTAATATATATATGATGTATTTTTGAACCGCTTACTCTACAGGAAAGTGCTTGGCGCACTCTCTTCCATAAGATTTGCGCGATAGAACGGCAACGCTGTTAACTTTTATCTCGATCGCACTTACTCTCAATGCTCTCTCTTTATGTTTAGGGATCGTTTAAATGTGTGTGTGTGTATGTGTCTGACAAGCAAAACTGCGCAAAAATTCAATTTTTTCCAAATGCTGAGGCATTTCTACCCTTTTAAAGGCACGAGTAATATGAAATAGAGAAAGGGTTTGCCACGTCGATGCGAAATACTTGCATTTTAGCTCGCTATCGTTGGTAAGGGTACCCAAAATATTACTTTGTTCCCACTCACTACTGCATATCATGTCCAGTCTATATGTTGTTTAGTTAGTGCTAAAATATATTGGAGCTGGGAAAATATTGATGGCTCCAAAATAATCATCGATAGTTCTTAAAACACCAAATACATTGATAGTCGCATCGATTGTTTTCCAGCTCCATTTCCGACCCCAATGAGTATATATATTCTCGATCAGCATCAATAAAAAGTCGTGACATGTCCGTCTGTCTGTATGTATGAATACAAGGATCTCAAACTTTCAGATCTATAAGAGCAACTCGATAGCTTGCCCTGATTTCAACTTATCGTTAAAAAATTGATATCAAAATCCTGTTTTGTTATCAAATCTTGGAATTTTAAGAGGAAAAGTCGCCAAACTTTTATAGGTTTCAGCACCTTCCCGCTACCACGACATAGCTACAAGTTAGGATAATTAATCAACTGGTATTGCCAACAATTTAATTTACAATTTAAATACAACTGGCTTTTTAGAATATATATAATTTTATATTTAGAATATATATTCTACACCACAATAAAATCTGTTGTTGAAAATTTCATTAAGGTCGGTTAAGAAACAGATCAGTTTTTAAGTAAAAGAGGTTCGGCTGCTCAAGTGTTTAAAGCAGCATGCGCAAATTGCAAGAATTTTTTCTAAATGTACTTACACAGATTCAAGTTATCCAAGTCTGTCAGCAGAAGATACAAGGAAATTTATTTGTTCCCTTAAATGAAACAAACTCTTAATGCAGTCTTCCAGAAGTCTGAAATTGTCTGCATGCAATCTCCACTGGCAACCAACCAGCCGATGACAGATGGACAAAAAATTAAGTTTGAGAACAATGGGACTGAGTCAATTTACAACCATCCTGAGTGCCCTTTTGTTCCTCAGGCAGGTCGCAGGAGTGACGCAGCCAACAAATCCAAATATAATAATTATACTTATAGATGATATGGTAACTAAAAATAAATTATATACGAATCAAATCAAAATAAATTACTACTCAGGGCTTTAACGATGTCAGTTTTCATGGCTCTAATCAAATTCTAACACCAAATATTGATGCATTTGCTTATAATGGAGTTATACTTAATCGTTACTATGTGCCTAATCTGTGCACACCCTCAAGAGCGGCGCTGCTAACCGGAAAGTATCCCATACACAACGGTAGGCAAAATAGCTGCAAAATCGGATTTCTGAAAATATCCCTTCTAAAGTTAAATTTGATCTTTTGGTGAAGGAATGCAACATTTTGTGCAAATACCAGATGAGCCCTGGGGATTGCCGCTAGGAGAACGCCTCATGCCCCAGTTCTTTCGTGATGCAGGTTACTCTACGCAGCTCGTTGGCAAATGGCATTTGGGATTCTGGCGCCAGGACCACACGCCTATAATGCGCGGCTTTGATCATCACTTTGGCTACTATAATGGGTACATAGATTATTATGACCATACCCATTATATGTTGGACAGAAATTACACAGCAGGGGCTGACTTTCGACGCGATCTACAACGCTGTCATTCGGATAACGGCACGTATGCAACGGAGGCTTTTACAAAAGAAGCTCGTCGCATAATAGAACAACATGACCTAAGTCGCCCTCTTTTTATGGTATTAAGCCATCTAGCCGTGCACACAGGTAACGAGAATCAGCCCATGCAAGCTCCCTACGAGGAAGTGGCAAAATTTGTACACATAAGCGATCCCAAACGCCGTACCTATGCGGGTGAGAGACTTATTATTTATTTAATTATATTAAAACATATAATATGTAATAATTATATTGCTTTCAAGGTATGGTCTCTAGTCTCGACAAGAGTGTGGGCCAGACAATACGTGCTCTCTCAGATCGGGGCATGCTTAACAACTCTATTGTACTACTTTACTCAGACAATGGAGCGCCCACTCTAGGTATTCACTCCAATAGTGGATCCAACCACCCTTTTCGCGGTGTAAGTACCTATTTTACAAAGACTTTTTTTCAATTAATAGTCTTGATGAATACTTAATACTCTATGTATAAATTATAAGGAGTCATTTCCGCCTTTTATAGCCTGAACCCATTAAAAAGGGGTACAATGTTTCTCTCTCAATGCATCTCCGACCCCAAAAAGTGTATATATTCTTGATCAGCATCAACGATCCGAGTCCGAATGTATGAACGCAATGATTTTAGAAACAATAAGAGCTAGAGACTTGAAAACTTAGCTGTAGTTCCGCCTAGTGCCTGCACAGTACGAGTTTGTTTCCGATAATCGATACCTAACTCAGTTACCAAGCACTCGATAAAAATGGATATCGACATCCTCTTTTTTAGCCAATTGGGTAAAAATTAAGAGCTAAAGTCACCAAACTTGATATGTTGCTTCTACATTAGTATATATATATAAAGTATTTCATCGCCACTATCCCCGTTACCACCACATAGCTATAAATCAAGTTAGTAACCCAACTTGTATGGCCCACCAACTTTAGGTATAATGTTAATGCAATTGACTTTTTGAGAATACACAAATATCCTATGGTAAAATAAGGTAAACTGAAGAAACTTTCGTTTCGAATTCCATCAACAGCATTGTAATTGCGATTGTTTTCGGTGCTGCTATTTTAAATTGATCAATTTTTCGGGAGCTTACGCATGTTTTGTATTAGGGGGCTAGGTGATGGATAGGTAATATGGATTTTGAATGCAGAACGACCCCAAAGCCTTGCTTCACAGGCGTGTTCTTGCTAACTAGTCTTCCTCCGTTCTCATTACTTCTGCTGCGAAGGTGCTGGCTGCGTTCCACTTTTCTGCAGTATGTAGCATGTTTATGACCAGGATCCCTGAGAAACGTCCACACTGGAATATTATGTAATTGGCGTCCTCCTCGGTTCCTATGCCGCACCAAGAACACTCGTCTGTGGGCATATAGGAGCTAAATAGAAGTTAGTATAGCCATACTTGCGGTTTATCCGGGCTTCCAAGTTTGCGATAAGCCTATGTGTCCAGCGTCCTTTATATGCGCAATCCTAGCGTGATTGCCATCGTGCTATACTCTGCATCCTTGCCTCAGTGCGAACCGACTTTGCTGTGTTGTTTCCATTGTGAGTTCTATAGCGGAACCATTTCTGCGATAACCAGAGCCGTTTCGTCTGATACCGTCCGGATGGCGCAGATGACCCGTAGAGCACTTTGGCGATATAAAGAGTTTACGCCTCGGCTGTAGCTAGGAACAGCCATTGCTCTGCTCCAGATGGGGGATGCGTACAATATTACCGCTTTATGCACGGTCATAAGAAGACGGCTTCTCTGCTGCTTCGGTCCCCGTGTGTTCAGCATAATCCTGAATAGCGCTCAACAGGATTCTGCTGCTTTTTTGTGCACATACTCCAAGTGCTCTCTAATGGTATCCTTGTGTCAGGCATGATGCTCAGGTACTTTTACGCCCTTTCTGATTCAATTATAGAGCTGCCGACTGTTATGTGCGGTGCTTCCACCTTTTTGAGGCTGCTGACTAATACTGCTTCCGTTTTATGATTACCCAGCCATTTGTGTACACGGTCATTGCTGTGGTTGCACGATACCTCTTCCGTTTCTTGCCGACGACTTATATCGATCGGGAGTTCTGCTCGGAGGATACCATCGTACATGAACTGAGCCTTGACCTTCTGCGGTGTCGTATTGCAGGGGTCTTCCTCTAAATAAGCTTTGTATTGTCTCCTAAAGTAAATATGGGACACGGATAGTTGACAGCGCATCCAATATTTTGTCCCACCAAGCTGTGTTAAAGGCATTTTAAACATCTAGAGTTACGATGAGGTAGTACTTCTTTGTGCCACTCTTCCGTTTGTTGCTATGTAATATGCCAATAGTTTAATACACGGGCACGACATGTAATATGCCAATAGTTCAATTCACTGGCACGTCTGTGCCGTTTGACTTTAGTTTTTAGAATGCTTTATTGAATATGTATTTTAGTGCGTTTAGCCTATGTACATAAATACTTAAGGCTAAGCCGCGTATCTGCGCTGCCGGTTACGCCAGCAGCGGAGCGGCTGCATATATATATTGTCTTATCAGCATAATCGGGAGAGACAGAATCTTATGTACATATATGTATATATATATAATTAAGTTTTACACGTAAGGTAAAAATATATTTCAATTTATTATTTTCACTTAACGGCTACTTTTGTTGAGTACATTCATTTGCTTCCCGAATATGAACTGATTTATCTAACTGTTGCGGTCGCTTAGCAAACTTCGCTTTGAGAGAGATTGAGTCAAAATTGAGTGAAGTTTGAGCTGCTTCAGCAATTATGCGTGGGATAGTGCTCTGATGGGAACATTGACAGTGGCGTGATATTTAGGGTGAATTGTTTATGTCTACCAAAGGGGGACAGTTTGATCTTGACCAATGTCGATGTTATCACCAGGCTCTTTGTTTACAATATTAGAAATGTTTATACTTGTGCTTGTGCTTATGTGCTAAGTTATGTTAAAGGGTGGGTGCGACTATGGATATGTCACTCCCCCAACCATTAGAAAAGTGCCTGTCCTCAGGTGTTTAAGTTTGGATATGGTGTAACATTTTCTTCTTTTACAATTGGTGTATCTCCTATTATTGTAGGTGTTTCTTCTACTTTGGGTTTTTTATTTTTTATAATTAATTTCTTAGGTATGCTGTTGAACTTATATGTCAAATACAGTGTTAAACTTATTAATATGATTACAAATATAGTTATTGTAATTATCTGGAATACATTGTTAAATTTTGTATGTTCATTTATAATTTGTTTCGTTTGTACAAACGAAAGTGGTTCTAATTTTATAACATCATTGCTTACGTAAATGCTTTGAGTATAATCTAACATATTGTTTGAAATTGAAATTTCATTAATTTGCAGTGAACAATTAAAGATTTTTATTATATTGTTTCCTTCTATTGTTATTTCGTTATTTATGCAATTATGATTTAATATAGTTTTTGGTAAATTCCAAGTTAAAATTATATTTGGTTCTACGTAGTTGATTTGAAAATTTTGCATAATTTTAGTATAACTACATTCTGATGTTATTTGGTTTAAAATTCCTGTCAAACATTCATTATTAATTAATTTTTTTGTTTCTTTGCTATGAACTTTTTTGTCGTGGGTAAAATATTTTTCATGAGCTATTTCTGTCAAAATGTTATTATTATCATCCGAGTATGGAATTATTTCGAATACCGGGGTTTTTATTATTTTTCGAGGAATATGGGATATTATCAGTATTTCGTTTGTATCAGATTTAAACCAAGTGGAAGTTTTTGTATTCAACAATTTCTCAGAATTAACATGCAACAAATAGTCATGTTTTAGTAATTTTGGGTTAAAAATGCCTAATATTGTGAGCTGCATTCCCATCTCAATGTCTTCTATATATTCTGTAAAGTGTTGTAAGTTAAATATAAGGATATCTAATTTCTTTCCTTTTTGTTTCTCTTGATCTAGTTCGTTCATGATTTCTATTCCTTTGTTTATAGCTTCTATTATGTAATTTACTTCGTTAACCTGAACGCTGTTTTCTGCTAAGTTGCTTATTTTTTGTTCAATTTTTGTTTTGTCTTCTTGATCTTATGTTCCAAATAAGTATTTATATACTGTTCCTACTATGTTAACTAAACCTCTTTTGCTGCGTTTGGCTATTTTTAAGCCGTTTATTTCTCTGCTTAATTTTTCTACTAGGTATTCGATTTGTATAAGGTTATTGAATTCTTTACTTTGTTCAATTAAATTGTTAAAAGTTTCTTCGGTTTTTGTTATATTAACCGTTAAACAGTGGAATTCGTAATCTGTCGGAATGTCTATGGTTCCTGTTTTAAATATGAGATAGACGTTATGGGCTTTGATAGGATTAATTTCAATACTTTGTGCATTTATATGGTTTACAGTTATTGATAGTAATATTATAATAATTAGTTTAAGATGGTGCTTGTATGTTTTGATCGCTGTCTGTTGTTGACCTGTAATTGTTATATTTGCTTTGATTAGTCTTCTTTTTCTTTTTGAATTTGGTTTTGTAATGTGTTATTTTCCTGCCTCTGTTAGTTTCCTCAAAATGTTTGTCGTCGATTTGTCTTAGTTCTCCTGTTTTCTTGAACGGGGTTGTCGTCTTTGATTTAACTAATGGTGAATGTTTGTATCTAGTGTCAATTTCATAATTTGTTGGTTTTTTTTTTTTTGAGGTTATTTATTAGTTTTTCCTGCGTATATGAATATGTCCGCTGGTGTTCGGTTAGTTGTTTTGTGCTTTGTTTTATGATTGTATTTATTTTCGACGTCTGAGTCGCTGTTAATGATTCTTAATTTTTCGTTAACTGTCTTATGAAATCGTTCTACGTCGGATATACCATTTTTACTAGTGGTTATATTAATATTTACTGCTTCTGATTTTAGCCATAATTGTAAAGCTGTGTACATAAAAGCTGAGTCTTTGTCTGCTTTTATTTTGATAGGTTTACCCATTTGGTTGAACACTTGTAATATAGCTCGTTTGGTTTCTAACCAGTTTCTTCTTTTTATTTCTATTAATGATGCAAATTTTGAATAGATATCAATGCAAGATAAAAATTGCTTATCTCCTACTATGTAAAAATCCATTATATATTTTTCTCGGATATTAGCGATTTCCGAAGCTATTTCGAAAGTTAATTTTGTATCTCTGTGTTCTGTTTTTGCGATGTTGCAAATCTCACATTCATTTATTAGATTTTGAATTAAATTTTGATAATCTGGGAAATAGTGGTTTTCTTTTAACCAATTGATAGTTTTTTCAATTCCTGGATGTAATAATTCTTTGTACTTCTTTAATATTAATTCTTTGAATTCTGCGTATGTTTGAAGGTCTATTAATTTTGTACTAGTTTTCATTGCCTTTGTTGAATTATTCGAACTTATTATTTCTAAGTAGGCTTCTTGAAAAATTGGA